TTTATTTTTAATTTATTTCTCCTCCTTTCTTCTTTTTCTTAATTCATTTCTCTTTCTTTCTTCTAGGTCGAGATACGGACGCTGATCATTCTCCGCGGGTCGAGGAAGAGAAAACCAATAAACACGTCCACAGAAAACGAAGGAAATAAACCAGGGGAAAACAAAACAAAACCAATAAACAAGAAAAAAAGAAACGAAGAGAGAAAACGCGAAACAAAGAGAGAGAATAACACCAGATCACACGCAGAAGGCGACGAAGGAGGACACAGAGGACGTCAGAATCAGAGGGCGATGGACGGCTCGAGCAGAGGAAGGGGCGTGAGGTGGCTGGCGGCGGCGGCGGCGACGTGGGCGCTCCTGGTGGCGCTAGCGGGACAGCCTGCCCTTGCCCAGGTGTACCCGGTGCCCAAGCTCGAAGGTGGGCGTGGCTGGCAGTTGAAGGAGCTCGATTTTTTTACGTTTTCATTTAACTGCTTTTTATCGTCATCACTGTTATCATGATTATCATTGTTGTTACTATAATTACCATTGCCATCATGATTGCCATTATCATCACTGTTATTATGTTCAACATTGTTATCATGATTATCGTCATTATCACGCTTATCATTATTATCATGATTACCAATATTGTTATCATGATCACCATTATGATCACGATTATCATTATTGTTATCATGATCACAATTATTGTTTTCACCATCATTACCACCATTATCGTCCATGATACCGCTATCATTAACCATCACCACCAGTAAAGAGATCCTTATTAAAATCACCACTACTCTCTCCTCCGCTGCTTCTCTCCACCACATTCTCTCCTCATCCCCACATTCTCCCATTTCCCCACCTTTCTCCCCACGTCTCTTTTCTTCTCCTCCTCCATCTTCACCGGTCCCATCTTCATCGCACCGTCTCTCTCTCTTTTTTCTCTCTCCCTTTGTGACATGAGCATTACAAGAAACGGTCCTCCTGGTCATCTTCGGACATTTTTTGCTCGACCCAGAGAGTCTTCATTACCCAACATAACGGCGTTTCGCTCTACCCTTGAAAATGAAATCGGTGGTCATCTTACCTCGTGAAGGCTGACGTTTTTATAGAAATTACATCTTAAATGGGCGATGTAATGCAATATATTATATATTATATATCACACACACACATATACATACACGCTATATTATATCATATTACACACATATATACATACACCATCATATCAATTACACACACACACACACACATAACATACACAATATATACATACACATCATATCATATACACACAGACAAACACACACACACATATACATACACGTTATATCATATCATATTACACACATACAAACACACACACATATATATATACATACACGTTATATTATATCATATCACACACATACAAACACACACACACACACATATATACATACACGTTATATTATATCATATTACACACATATAAACACACACACACACATATATATACATACACGTTATATTATATCATATTACACACATACAAACACACACACACACATATACATACACGTTATATTATATCATCTTACACACATACAAACACACACACACACACATATATACATACACTTTATATTATATCATATTACACACATACAAACACACACACACACACACAACACACACACACACACATATTATATTATATATATATTATATATAATATATATATATATATATATATATATATATATATATAATATATATACACGTTATATTATATCATATCACACGCATACAAACACACCACACACACATATATACATACGTTATTCAATTTACAATTACATACAAAGGACACATATATATCTATCATGTGTGTGTGCAGTAAGGTACAAAGCAGATAAACACACATACAGATCCATATGCCCATAATAAATACACGTTTATCTCCCTGTGACAGACATGGCCCACTGGCACCAACTGGGCGCTAATGATCTGCAAGATGCCATGTTCGCCGCCACCATGCACGACTGGAGCATTGCCAAGAACGTACGTACACTGTTGAATATTTATCTAATCATTTCTGTCTGTTTGGTGTCCGCTTCCTGTTTCCTGGGTGGTCTTACCGCGTTCATGCAGTTTTGTTGGCTTCGTATTATCATTTTTAATTTGTTAAGTTTCAGTTCTCGGACGAGCCGCTGCCGTACCTGCGGCCTTCAACTGGGATGTACAGTTGCAGAAAAGTGATATTTCTTTCTTGCTTTTCTTATTGCTTGTCTTTTCTGCAACTGCATATATAACCTGATTTCTTCTCTCAGTTTCACTCTCCCTTTTACTCACATTCACACTCTTACTCTTGCTCTTCCCTCACTATTACTTTTACACTTATTCTTATTTTCAATCACACTCACTCTTACTCTGCTCTCACTATTACTCTTACTCTGTTCACACTATTATTCTTATTCTTGTTTTCATTCTCACTCACTCTTATTCTCCCCACACTATTACTGTTACTTTTACTCTCATTCTTACTCACCCTCTTACTCTCCCTCTCCCGTCACTCTCTTCCTTCCCCTTCCCCTTCTCCCATTCACTACACCTTTCCCTTTCCCCTCACATATCTCCCCCCCCCCCATCCGACTTGATATCCGCCCTCCATAACACAAATCCCTTACAACCACTGCGCCTAAGAGCCCCCACTGACTCCCCCGCCCCCACTGACCCCCCTCCCCACTGAGCCTCCCCCATGTTGCAGGTGGTGATTTTCGTGGGCGACGGGATGGGCATCACGCCCTCGGTGGCCGGCAGGATCTACAAGGGCCAGCGACGCGACGGCACGGCAGGGGAGGAAGGGTACCTGGCATGGGAGCGCTTTCCCAACATGGGGCTCATGAAGGTGAGGGCCGCTCGGGACACGGTGGCGAGTCGGTGTTCCATATTTCTCTTTCTGTTTCTCTGTTTCTCTTTCTCTCTCTACCTCTTTTTTCTCCCTCTCCCTCTCTCTCTATTTCTTTTTCTCTTGGGCCTCATGAAGGTAGGGCCGCTCGGGACACGGTGGCGAGTCGGTGTTCCATATTTCTCTTTCTCTGTCTCGGTATCTCTCTCTACCTCCTTTTCTCCCTCTCCCACTCTCTCTATTCTTTTTCTCTTGGCCTCATGAAGGTAGGGGCGTTGGGACATGGTGGAGAGTCGGTGGTTCCAATATTTCTCTTCTTTCTCTCCTCTGTCTCTCTCTCTCTACCTGTCTTTCTCTTTCTCTGTTTCTCTCTCTACTTCTCTTTCTCCTTCTCCCTCTCTCTTTTTCTCTTGGCCTCACGAAGGTTGGACGCTTAGGGCATGGCAAGAAGTCCTTCTGTTTTCCATATTTCTCTTTCTTTCTTTTCTTTTCTTTCTTTTTTTTCGTTTCTTTCTCTTTTTTCTTCCTTTTCTTTTTTTCTGTTTCTCTCTCTCTTTCTTTCGTTTTCTTTCTCCCTTCCCTTCCTCCGTCCTTCCCGTTAAAACTACCGCTCACAAAATTCACAAAAATTCCTCTTGCCTTCCATCCAATACCTCTCCCTCCCGAGTCGACACATTTACCCCCACCCCTCCACCCCACCCACCAAAGCCACCATCGAACACCCCCCCCTACCACAACGACCAACAAAACTAACCCCTACCCCTTTCTCCCCCTCCCCTCCCCCTCCCCCTCATCCTCCCTTCCCTTCCCCTCTCTCCCAGACATACGTGCTCGAGACCAGCAGGTGCCCGACAGCTCGCCCCACCGCCACCGCCTACGCTGATGGAGGCGCGAAGGCGAACATGTACACCCTGGCGTGGACCACACCGTCTCGCAGGCAGTATAGAACAATACGAGAGATACCCTATAAGTATAGAAAGAAAGAAGAGAGGACCACGGGAGGCGAAGATCAACCACAACTGGAGGAGATTCGTGGCATCAAGATAGAGAGCTCAGGAGAAGCCGACAGACCACGAGGTAATGAAGTAATTAATCGAGCCGATCCTGGTCGTTCAGATCCACGATAATATAGTATATACAGATTAATGATTCGAATTGTATAATTGCATAGTCGTATTACATAGCCTATGAAATTTACGAAAATGCCAAAGAATTTGACTAGACAGAATATTGAGAGAGAGACACAGGAGAGAGAGAAGTGACTACTGAGACGATCAGACCGATGAGAGATACTTCATCATACGAAAAAAAGGGAGAGATGAGAAGTGAGAGAGATCTCCGGAGTATCGATCGAGTGAAGAGAGCAATAGAGCCACACAGACTAGACCAACGAGAGAGCATGACTGCACGAATGAAAAAAAAATCCATAACGATTCCTAGATCCACGATTTAAAAAATATTGATTAAAATAAAATCTACGTGTGCTCTCGGTGCAGACGGTTAGCCCTCCTCGATACCTCGTCATAGCGTATTCCCAGCTTGACCGCCGCTCAAAATCCCGCCTACTTGAATGCAATCCCCGCCCTACTTCCTCGTCACCTCACGGGCTCTGGCTAATTTAGAAGCACCCAAAATCAACAGTCATTGACCCGTAATCTGTCCTTAACTTCCAAAAGCGCCCACCACCAGCCATCGTCCAAACCCTATAATTGAGTGATGAAGTTGATAAATAACGATCTTCATAACCAGATTGAACCAACCACAATTCAACGATTCACATCTTCTGCGTTGCCATCCAATCAAGTGACAGGATGGCTGACAATTCAGTCAGAAAGATACAAATCTACACAACTTCAACTGATTCTTAAGGGTAAACAGTCATTCTTAATCAATCAAGTTTAATAAAACAAGTCATCATTTAACTACGATAAACATTTCAGTATGTAGTGTGATAAAATTTAAGAAAGAAATATAAGAGAGTGAGGAAATGCAGGTCAAAGGATTATAAAACAAAAATGAGTATTATAAACCAATCAATTATATAAAAATATCCAATAGATAATACTACACTCAACTCAGATATGTGTATGTAAGTACAAAACAGAGAAGTGAGCGGAGTAGGAACCAGAATCATTAAACAACAGACGTGAAAGGGGCCAGATATCAGGAGTTAGGGAAAAGTAAAAAACAAGATCATAATCGCGAATAGAGGAATCGTAAAAAAGGGAGAAAGGTAAGGGATTCGAGCCTAGATATTATTGAGTCATCAATCATTAAACAACAACTGTAAAGTACAATGATAATCCAAGTCAAAGGCAAAAGAAAGCAAAATAAGGAAATAAAGAAGAAATCACAGCCACACCAATAAGCCAGACAAGGGACGGATTAGCAGCCTAGCCTCCTCCCCCCTCCCCCCGCCATTCTTCCAGGGCTTCGTGACGACCACCGCCCGTGACTCTCACCGCGTACGCCCACGCCCGGCCGCCCCGTCTACGCCGCTACACCGCACAAACAGGACTGGTCTGAGACGAGAGAGAGAAGTGCGATTGCACGCCAGTGAGCACGCGGGGTACCATGCCACGGGGAACAACGAGGAGACCTGCGCGATAAGAGACGAATCAGGCGATCAAGTGCACAGTTCGTCCTAGATGAGATGCGACACGGAGCCAGAGTAGACCGAAGGAGCAGTGACATTTCAACCGTAAGTTTGGAGGCTAGGGGAGCGGGAAGACGAGACTAGGAGACGCAAGACTAGGGCAGAGGGATCTTCTAATCGTTGAAGTGAGTTCCAGATGACGATTCGGAGTGGCACGGAGCTGTGCAGGGAGTTGATTACGATGATGCGTGGGGAGGACGTCAGAGTGTAAGAAGTGAGATCTCGTGTGGGACGAAAGCTCGAGCATCGAGGTGTTAAAGCGTGGCTGGCCTAGACCTGCGGCCAATCTAGCTGAGAGGTTTGACGCGTATCCAATAGTTAAGTGGCCGGACTGAGATGCATACCCAGACAACTGCGGGATGGCAGAACCTGGTGCCCAATGCTGATAGAGGGAGGGACGACAGTGTAAGTTGGCTGGCAAGATCTGGGGACCAACTGTCCTTTCGAGGTAGGTGACTGCGTCGGCTGTAACGTGGTCGTCTGGTAGTGACTGCCAAGCAGGTTTTCATTGGCCTTTAGAGTAGGACTGCGGACATTATAAGTGGGCTCTGTTAGCACTGGCATAACGTATTACAATGGTCGTCTCTTTATGCGCGCACCTCCACAGAATTCATTCTCACGTCTTCTCCGGTGGCAGACTGGGCCAATTACTGAGAGGGATCGGTAGCGTAAGTGGCTGGCCGGTCTCGCTGGTTCTCAGTGTATAAGGTGGTTCGTGCCTCAGCGACTGGTCAGTTAAGTGAGGTGGATACTGAGACCCAATAGTTGCCTGAGAGCGAGGACGTCAGTATAAATGTCTGACGGTGCCAAGGTACACTAGGCCAGTTCTATGCTTAACATATAAAATGTTGGCAGATTGGCTCCCGAATGTGCTAGAGACTGCGAGGTCTCTCTAATGAAACAGCAGATATAAGTGGTCTGGCCGAGTCTGGTAAGCACAACGTCGATAAGTGAAAGAGGTGGGCAGACTTGGGTTGCCCAACTGCTGAGAGGGACGTCAGTAGTGAAGGGATAGCAGTTCGACTGAGTGCGCCAAAAGTATTTAGGTTCTGAATATATACTGATTTAAAAAGCAAAGGCAAAAAATAGACAGAAAGGCGGATAAGAAACTACAGAGATAACTAAAAATCTAAAAAAAGAGACAGAAGAGATGCATAAAAAAAAAGGAAAGAGTGGATAAGTAATAACAAAGATACAGAGGAGACAATCCAGAATAAAAAAAATATATGAACTCAAAGAGTGAATGGGAAAATTATAGAGATACAAGAACAAAAACAAAAGCAATGGCTAAATAAATGTAAACTTTAATCCCGGACATAAGTGATATATATATATATATATATATAAATATATATATATATATATATATATATATATATATATATATATATATATATATATATATATTATATATATATATATATATATATATATATATATATATATATATATATATATATATATATAATATATATATATATATATGTATATATATATATATATATATATATATTATATATATATATATATATATATATATATATATATGTATATATATATAATATATATATATATATATATATATTATATATTATATATATATAATATATATATGTATTATATATATATATATATATATTATATATATATATATATATATATATATATATAATATATGTATATATATGTATATATATATATATATATATATATATATGTGTGTTGTGTGTGTGTGTGTGGTGTGTGATGTGTGTGTGTGTGTGTGTGTGTGTGTGTGTGTGGTGTGTGTGTGTGTGTGTGTGTAGTAGTGCGTGTGTGAATTAATATAACTGAAACCTTAAAATATAATACAAGAATATATTCAGAGAAAAATCAACGATTTATGAGACTATACAGGGAAAAGAATGATTCATGAGAATGAACAAGGATAATTGCGTAACTGAATTTCAAAATTTCCTCCTGGAATTAATCGAATAACTCGTATCACATCCATAACTCATAACGAACTAGATAAAAAAAAATAATCCAGTCAATTTCAGTTCTTCCATCATAAGAAAAACAGCTGGCATAGAATCTCGGAAAAATATACTTAACCGGATGAAGCTGAAGAAAAAAGAAGAAAAAGAAGAAGAAGAGAAGAAAAGAAGAAGGAGAAGAAAAGAAGAAGGAGGAGAAAAAGAAGAAGAGAAAAAAAAAGAAGAAGGAGGAGAAAAAGAAGAAGGAGGAGAAAAAGAAGAAGAGAAGAAAAGGAAGAGGAGAAAAAGAAGGGAGAAAAAAAAGAAGGAGGAGAAAAAAGAAGAAGGCGAAAGAAGAAAAAGAAGAAGGAGAAGAAAAAGGAGGAGAAAAGAAGGAGTAGAAAAGAGAAGAAGGAGAGAAAAAAGAAGAGGAAGAAAAAGAAGGAGAAGAAGCTGTAGAAGAAGAAAAAGAAGAAGAAAAAAATACAAAAAAAAAAAAATAGACAAAGAAGAGAACACATACACAAATTAAAATCTAAACAAACAAAAAAAAAAAATCAAAACCCGCCCACCACCCCTCCCACCTCTCCCCAAACCCCAACCAAACCCCCCGCCCTTCCAGGTGGCTCTCGCGGGCGGGCGCTACGTGATGGGCGCGAGCAAGGGCGTGCACAGCCAGTGGAACTGCGTCCGCGGCGACGGGCGGAACCTCACGCAGGAGTGGCTGAGGGCCAAGCGCGCCCACGGACACACCGCCCGCTACGTCACCAACACCCAGGACCTCCTCAACACGGACTACGCCTCCACGGACTACCTCTTGGGTGAGTTCGAGGGCGGGATGTGAGGTTTTGCTTGCTTGCTTGCTTGCTCTCTCTCTCTCTCTCTCTCTCTCTCTCTCTCTCTCTCTCTCTCTCTCTCTCTCTCTCTCTCTCTCTCTCTCTCTCTCTCTCTCTCTCTCTCTCTCTCCTCTCTCTCTCTCTCTCTCCCCCTATCTATATGTCTCTGTCTATCCCCGTCTCCGTCTCAGTCTCTATCTCTATCTCTGTCCCTACCTCTGTCCCTAACTCTGTCTCTATCTCTCTCTCTATCTCTATCTCTACTTCTGTCTCTATATCTGTCTCTATCTCCGTCTCTATGTCTCCGTTCCTATCTCCGTCTGTATCTCCTTCTCTGTCTCTATCTCTGTCTCTTGTCTCTGCCTCTGTCTCTATCTCCGTCCGTTTCTATCTCTGTCTTTATCTCTGTCTCTACCTCAGTCTCTATCTCTACATATCTCTGTCCCTATGTCTATCTCCACCTCTGTATCCATTTCTATCATTCTCTATTAACAAAAAAATAAGGACCAAATATACAAACATTTCCGATACTCCGTGCACGAAGGCGTTTAATACAATTCATTTCTTTCCTTCAATCACAAATCGACGAAATCCTTTTTCAGATTATCATAAAATCATGAAATTTATTAAAATATTTTTTTATCAGCTGAGTACGACCGGTTTCCTAAAAAAAAAAAAAAAAAAAAAAAAAAAAAAAAAAAAAAAAAAAAAAAAAAAAAAAAAAAAAACGGGATGTGAGCACGATGGTCTTTAAAATGTTGTTGTTGTTTTTTAATCAGGTGAGTACGACCGATTTCCTTAAAAAAAGGGACATAACCACGATGGTGTTTTAATCACTATATTCTCAAAATAATTATCGTTATCATATCATTATCGTAATATTCTCTGATTCATAATCAAGATTGAATGTATTTGATCCTAACCATCTATGTGCGATAACATTAATACAATTTCCACCATATATAAACCACACATCATGTAAGCACAACTGGTATCAAAACAAGCAATAATCGCGAACAAACCACACCAAAACAACCTAACAAGCAATAAAAAAACAATAACAAATAACCCCTAGCGAACCATAACACGATGACGTCACACCATGACGTCACATGTGCGTTCCCGGTCACCTGAACTCTTTAGTGTCGTATAAAAGTTCAAAATGGATTAGGATTAAAGACCGTGAGAGATATCGATCTTAAGAGCTTGTCGGGTCAGTTCAAAACCCGAGTGAACATTATCTCGTTTTCAGTGTCGTGCAAGTTGCGAAATGATCTGTTTAATATGATGCAACGGCGAGACAGGACTCGTTTTTCGTTCTCGAGAACACGTTTCGGGAAAAATGTTCTCGTTGATGGTAGAACACACGACCAAATTATCCCCTTGGAGAAATTTCGGGCCATCGACCATTCTGGATATATCCCACACACACACACACACACACACACACACACACACACACACACACACACACACCACACACACACACACCACACACACACACACACACACACACACACACAACACACACACACACACACACACACACACACACACACACATACACATTACACACACATACACATACACACACACACACATCACACACACACACACACACACACACACACACACACACACACACACACACACACACACACACACACACACACACACACACACACACACACACACACACACACACACACAGCACACACACACACACACACACACACACACACACACACACACACACACACACACACACACACACACACACACACACACACACACACACACACACACACAGACACACACACACACACACACACACACACACACACACACACACACACAGATTTACCCGCAAAAAGGACCCGTTTCCCATCATAACGGAAGAATCCTTTACCTCCACAAAGCACACAGAAAGTACGAGTTATATATAAATACCATAAGGGGAATGAGACTTGCAAAGGAGTATATGTAACAGCTGATTGATTTATGTTTTTTTTTCTTTTTTCCTTTTTTTTTTTTTAATTGCTCCAACGCCAACTTCGTTTCATCGTCTTTGTTATGCCCTTCCCTCTCTTTCTCTTCCTCTTCCTTTTCCTCCCTCTATATGTCTTTCTCTTTATTTTTATCTTTGTTTTTTCGCTCTTCCTTCTCTCTCCTTCTTTCCTTCTCTCTCCTTCTCGTTTGCAATTTATCTGTCTCTCTCTCTCTCTCCTCTCCACCCTCTCTCTCTTTCTCTCCTCTTTCTCATCTCTCTCTCTCTGTCTCTGTCTCTGTCTCTGTCTCTCTCTCTGTCTCTCTCTCTCTCTCTCTCTCTCTCTCTCTCTCTCTCTCTCTCTCTCTCTCTCTCTCTCTCCTCTCTCTCTCTCTCTCTCTATATATATATAATATATATATATATATATAATATATATATATGAACAACTAGGTAAGAAACACACACAACACACACACACACACACACACACACACACACACACACACACACACACACACACACACACACACACACACACACACCACACACACACACACACACATTATTCTCCTACTCAGCATTTCCTTCTCCCTCCTTTTCCTCCATCCTACCCTTTCTCTCCTTCCTACCCTCTCCCCTCCTTCTCTCCTATCTTCTCCCCTCCTTCTCTCCTTCCCTCTCCCTCTCCCCCTCCTTTCCTCCTTTCCTCCTATCCTCTCCTCTCCTCTTCCTTCCCTCCCTCTCCCATTCCTTCCCTAACTCTCCCCTAGCTTCCATGCCTCTCCCCCAGCCCTAACCCTGCCCTCTTCTCTTCTCTTCCTCTCCCCCTCCTTCCCTCTCCCTCTCCCTCCTAAATCTCCACCAGCCCTAACTGCCCTCTTCTCTTCTCTCCCCCTTCCCCCACCAGGCCTCTTCGCTGACAGCCACTTAGACTTCGAAGCAGACCGCGATCGTGGACCTCTTGGCCAACCCAGTCTGGCCAACATGACTCGTGCCGCCATTAAGATGCTGTCCAAGAACATGCACAAAGGTTTTTTCCTCCTGGTAAGGTCACGATGGTAGTTCTGTATCTGACTTTATTTGCGGAAGAGAAATTAATTATGTGTGTGATATTGTTGTTCAATTTTTTTTTCTTCTTAGGTGAATTATTTTTGACGCGTCTAATGTTACTATACTATTGACAGAGAGTATCTTTATCTTTTCTTTTCTTTTTGTCATAATTAGAAACTTTTCTAACTACATTTATCTCCATCAAAACATTACAGTCTACCACATACCCCCTATATTCCTTCCTCTCCATCTCCCCACCCCGGCATTTCTCCCTCTCCACCTCCCATTCTCCAACATTAAACCCTCTCTTCTTCCCCATTTATCTCCCCTTCCTCTACATCTCCCTTATATTCCTACCCACCTCTTTTTCTACCTCCCCATTTCCTACAAACCACCTCCCTCGCCTAAATCTCACCTCAATCCCAGTAAATTTTCCCTTCTTCCTTCCCCTAAATCCCCCTCCTCCCCCTGTACTCAATCCCCTCCCTAAAAAACAACCCCTGCACCCCCTCCCAAAATCCCCTAAGCCACCCATCTCCAGCCCATTCACACAATCTCACCCCGACCCTTCCCACCTAGGTCGAGGCGGGAGGATCGACCACGCCCTCCACGAGACGCAGCCCCGCCGAGCCCTGGAGGACGTGGTGGCCCTGGACGATGCCGTGGTTGAAGCCCTGAGCGTGCTGGACCTGGAGAACACCCTCATCATCGTCACCGCCGACCACTCCCACGTCATGACCATCAACGGCTACTCTCAGCGGGGCAATGACATCTTGGGTGGGTGCTTTGCTGCTATTTTCTTCTATGTGTGTGTGTGTGTGTGTGTGTGTGTGTGTGTGTGTGTGTGTGTGTGTGTGTGTGTGTGTGTGTGTGCTGCTATGTGTGTATGTGCTGTGTGTCGTGTGTGTGTGTATGTGTGTATGTGTGTGTGTATGTGTGTGTATGTGTGTGTATGTGTGTGTGTGTGTGTGTGTGTGTGTGTGTGTGTGTGTGTGTGTGTGTGTGTGTGTGTATGTGTGTGTGTGTGTGTATGTGTATGTGTATGTGTGTGTATGTGTATGTGTATGTGTATGTGTATGTGTGTGTGTGTGTGTGTGTGTGTGTGTATGTGTATGTGTATGTGTATGTGTATGTGTATGTGTATGTGTGTGTGTGTGTGTGTGTGTGTGTGTGTGTGTGAGTGTTGTGTGTGTGTGTGTGTGTGTGTGTGTGTGTGTGTGTGTGTGTGTGTGTGTGTGTGTGTGTGTGTGTGTGTGTGTGTGTGTGTGTGTGTGTGTGTGTGTGTGTGTGCATGCATGCATGCTTGTGTGCCTTAGTGCTATTACACTTAGAATTTGGTTTCATAAAAACAGACTGACAGACTGCTTTCATCTGAATTGAACTACAACATATGATCCAACAGTCTTAACTTTACATCCCCTTAGCATCCCTTCTCCTTTCCACTTTCAGGTGTAAGCGATGTGGTGGCAGACGTCGACCAGATTGCATACACCACTCTCATGTTTACCAACGGCCATGCTTACAACTACACTTGGAATGGTGTCAATGTGAGTACACTCTCTGTCCACTCCTCTTTCAACGTTAGCCTGATACAAACTGTAACCCTTGTTACTTAAAGGATAAGCAATTAATATATCGTCCTCTTTATCAAGGTGACCCGTCCCGACCCCAAGACGCAAAACACTACAGAATTAGGTTACAAGCCCCTCGCTGCTGTCCCAGTGACTTATGAGACCCACGGTGGTGAAGATGTAGCTGCTTATGCCATAGGTAAGGTCCTTTGTCTGCCCCTGCCTGAGCTCTACAGCAAGTTGAGCCTGAATATTGTAATGAAAAATAACTATACTAAGTTACTGCCTTCTAATCCCAAAATAAATATCATGAGAACAAAACTGTTGAATGACCATGGAATAGAAAAATGTAACACTTAAAAACTAGTAATCAATCATAATCAAAACAAACATGCATTATATCATATTCATAATGCTAACACAACCCTCTTCCTGTTACTCTTTCACCTAAATACATTAAAAAAAACACAACATCCCACTCTCAACAATTAACCATCACTTGTCCTCCCTAACCTCATCCCTCTGCTTCTCCCTTAGGCCCAATGTCTCACCTGCTGCATCGCGTCCACGAGCAGAGCTACCTGGCCCATGTGATGGGTTTTGCCTCTTGCATTGGCCCCTACAAAGATAACTGCGAGAGACCCAAATCCCACTTCTCCCGCTTCCTACCGCGGGCAAAGAACTTCAGGCGAAAGATTAGATTATAAGGGCTTAATAGTAGCAAAATACAATCAAACATGTACATATTGTAGAGTCTGTAACACTGTCTCGTTCCCTTTATCTTATATTCTAGATTATAACTGGTACTTGTGGCTGCAATTTCAGCACTGTCTCTTCTAATCTTTACTATCAATTACTCCACTGCCTTATAAAAGTATTTTAGAATGCACTTGTAACAATTATTTTCACTTCTTTTTGTTGTGTTATCCCAATAAATGCAAGGTCTTATGAGTTCAATAGTCTACAGCAAACAAAACCTTTATGCCATACATAATGACAATAATCTTACTGCATTTACTGTGTGAGTAGCATTTATCATCATTCTATATATAAAGACCACAGCAACATGACATTTCAAAAGACATATCTTGCACCTTAGAATATAACATCTGCAACATATACAAAAGCTATCCACTGTAAGACCTTGCTGTACACTAGCTGGTGTGTGGGCAAAAAACATGTGAATCAATTAAACAAGGTATGAACTCAGGGTAACCTTTTCGTTACATGTTCTAGCTAGTACAAAGAAATGTCTCAATCTGCACTTATATATAAACAATTTGTCCTGCAGATTCTCTTTGCAAATGTTACTGTTTTTAAACCTTAGATATTCAAGTAATTTGAATCTTGAAAAGAGAAGAGGGAACAAAATTCTATTTCAAAAACAGTTTTCCACAGTCACTTCAAGACAGTGCTCTTCTATGTACAGTACACCACAAACAGTCACATCCACATTAGCACCTACAGATTGTACCTCACACTCAGTTGACTGTCTCAACTCTACCTATTTAGAAGTTACCAAGTAGTACTGTGAATTGTGTGTGTGACAAGTTCAGAACAAGTCTTAGTTACAGGTGATGGAAAGTTTTAATGTTGTCTCACGAACATAACCGAAATGTCTCCAACCATATATGTGTGTATATACTGATATGTTGGCCAGTTCTAATTGTGACATGGAAAAGTTAAGCAAAAGCATCATATAGAGAATTTTTCCCATGTAAAATCAAACTGTCTGGTAAATAATGGTGTTGACAACATGGTAGATCATTTATATTTTCTAGATTTTTATAAACATAAAATAAATAAATATTTTGTAGACTGTAATTTGGATCCCTTTTTGAAAAATGAACACAAACAATAAATAAAAAATATAACTTATAAATACAAGAAGGCTTATATTCAAACACCGTAACAACCCCCTTTGAACAAACTCCCATGCAAAACAGGTGAATCTGCAAAGAAACAGCAACACATGCAATACATTTCAAAGAAGAGAAACATCAATGGTGAACTGTACCTGTATCTTCATTAGTCGTCACTCCCTGCATCTGATGAAGAAGATGCGAGGCTACAGAGGAGTGGGCAACTAGGCGGTCTTGGTACATGGCTGTCGATGCCCACTGCATGATGTCAGTATTCATGCGGTACTGCACGGTTAACATCCTGACAACTTCTTCTCCACACTGATCTGCAGAGTGTTTATGGAATTCATCATTAAAAAATGTGAAACTATATATTCAATATCTATTGGTAATTACAGGTTAACATCTCTGCATTTGAATCCCATTCTACCGTTCGATACAGTATCAAAATTGAAATGCTTATGTTATGATAGAATTGTAAAAAGAATTCACAAAATTTCCTCATGTAAACTCCCATAGCAAGAAGTAACAAGACGCTTTTTCTGCAAGATATCAGACAACTCGGCATTCTCACTTCCAACAACCCAAAAAGATGCAACATATAGGTGCCTGACTCTCCTTTCCTGAAAGACATGACATGCTAACATGATTCCCTTATAATGCAAAATATTATAACATTGCAGTGGAAGTACAAACAGATAAATCTATCCCTTTTAATCAAAATCTAGCAATAACTGTTACAAATACATAGCAATCTAATTAATGAGGTCATCTGATTTTTTGAGTGGATTTTCAACTCTTTTCTATTTCTGACATATTATTTTCTTGTATATAGAAACTACTACAGCCATGGGATTCCCTTGAAAAAAAAGTAATAAAATGTAGCATATGTAGATGCCAGACAATTACCTCATGAGACCAATGGACCTCAAGACCCAAAAATTGGTATGAATAGAGTAAAAACGCGATTTTGGACTTAGACTTCGCAACTTCTTATATCCCTTCCAATTCCTTATGCCAAGCTCCCAAAAATGGCCAATACCGAAAAATATTGGAAAGCACCAAAACTGGCTAATCTCACCTTTTCTCGATCTAAAGAAATGAGAATCACTTCCCTACTGTCAGTAGTTTACCACAGAAGAACATGTTCCTATGTTTTCTTAATATTTTGAGAAAACACCTTTTGACCAGAAATTACTTCTTCTTCTTCCACTACTTTTTCTTTAATGGAATGGCCAGTTATTAGCTACTGTAACTTGTAATTCAATCCATTAACCTAATATCTATCTCTTATTGTGCTTGGCATTACCTCTATGGGTACAGTATATTCCTTTTTCTTCTTTAATCCCATTCTCAATCTTTTTAGCAGGGCTTTTCAAACTTTTCCAAAGTTTTAATTAAAAACAAAGAAGTCAGTGAAAAATTAGAATCTCCCTCTTTGGTCTCATATGCCATTACTGCATAATGTACAGGTAAATAATCACAAAAAAACACATAAAAAAAATGCATATATCAACTGTGGTAAAGCTCAGCGACCATTTCCCAAACCCAGTTTGATACATGACATTCACAGGAATAATATTAATGGAATAACTCCCTCCATATTCCAATTGGGAGAGCCAGCAGGTTTGTGAGAATTTCTTAATGATAAATATTGCAAAACCTGCAATGGACATTTGAATCTAAGCCTCTTGGTAAAAATTTTATATCATTCATCAAATATATATCTGATAAAGTCTGTTTTCCGAGCTAAATATATCTATAAAAATTAAGAAATGGCTTCATCTTATATAAAAACAATAACAACAAATATAATAATTACAGTACAACATAATTACCATTTTTCAAACATAGTTTTTTTTTAACATATGATTTTGGGAGCAAATCTGCCAGGCTTGATGTTTCAAGGAAAGACTTGGTAAGCCTAAAGGATATTCATCACACCAAACGTTATCAGAAATGAACATAACACAATTTGCTACAACAGGTTGGACTTCAAAATAATCAAACTGTCCCCTTTAATACATGTTACACAACATTACCTTGTACTGCACACAGCTTTAACCCAATCTATGGTTCCTTTAAAATTACAAAAGTTCCTGAACAAAGGGAGTCCCTTCTCTAAAACTGAAATCTTGGATATCTTATCTCAAATGCAGGAACACTTACTTATAACTCTCTCCATGAGCGAGAGTTCCAAGCCCTTCTCAGCTGCTTCTTTAGACACAATAGTAGGAGGAAGCTGGCAGTGATCGCCTGCTATTATCAGCTTTGGGGCTCGGAGGAGGGACATATAACAGGCAGCTTCAATTGCCTGAAAAAAAGAGGGCAAGAAAAGAATTTAAAAAAAAAAGAACACTGGAATAGAATTCTCTTTCCTTTCAGACCACAACAATCATACACATTCTTTCTCCAAAACAACAATGTCAAAATTATGAAATACAAATAAAAATATAAAAATTAGTACATCCTTATCAAGACAATGCCCTTCACACACAAGGAACCCACCTGCGAGCATTCGTCAATGACCACCACATCGAAGAAATCCTCCCTCAAGAGCTTAAGGGGACCATCATTACTACTGCTGGTGAGGGTAGCCAAGATGACGTCACTGGTCATCAGGATCTGCTTTGTGAGTCTCATCTCCCTGTGTTAGGAAAAACAGTGAGTTAATATGTAGTACAAATTAGCAAGAAACAAACCGGCACATTCCTCTCACATATCCTTGTAAATAACAAATGATACTTGTTCTTTACTGAATGTTTTACCAATTATCAACTTCATCCAACACATTATATTTACATGATACTTGTGATTTTCTTTGTTTTATGTCATTGATCAGCCAAACAAAAATCATCTAATTAATACCTCTCATATAACTCCTTCCTAAACGTTTTTATTTCCCTCCTGATGTGCTGCCTCTTTCCTCTGTCTTTGGCCGTCTTCAGTTGTTTGAGTTGGTCGTTAATATCGCGATGAATATCCTTCAATAGTTGGGATTCATCACTGGCAATATAAAGCTCAGTCAGTGCTAGTAATGGTTTAATGCAGTACATTGTGGACTTTAAATATTCTGTCCATCTTATTACTTTCTAAAATACAAAAAAAAAACATATTTGTACAATATACAAACCTCAGAATCAGAAAAGATATTCAAGTATTATCTTAATACTAAAATATCTTTCTAGCTATTACTATTATTATACCATCACCTTTTTGACTATCAAATCATTTTACTTTATAATTCTCATATAAGAAGAAACAATTGAACATCACCAAATATATCCCAATTCATCTTAATAGTCACAGAGACAAAAACTAATACATTCAACACCACTCTTACAATTAAGCTTGCCAGCACAGAAATCAACAAACCTGTGATGCATAAGGCAGTCCAGAGTATAGCGCTGGGTGAGTGGAGTGGCACGTGCCGGATGACCCACACGCACAACACGAACCTTGGCTGCTGCTAGTCTTTCTACCAGGTTATCCACTGCAAGGTTGGACGGGGCACAAGCTAAAACCTGCAATAATAATAATAATCCAATATAACCCAAAAAAGTAAAATTGCAACAAAATTCTTTTATTTTACTATATTCTATATTTCATTCTCAGACTGCCAGAAAAGGAAAAAGAAAAAGTTGAATAGCCAAGTGCCAAAACTTGCAATGTATTTCATCCTATCACAATAAACCTTAATCAACAACAAAGTGGACACTATATCCTTCGCTATCCCTGTCTTCGTATGGCTTATTCTCAGCCAAACAGAGCAAAATAAAAGGTTTAATGGGCTATATATCAGAATCTGCAATATCATTAAAACCACCACAACCAATTTTCTCAACAGGTCAAATTGCAAAAAACAATTAATCTGGTGAGTGCTAAATATTCCTTTTTAGCTGGATTTTGTCACTTGCAATAACTCAACATTTTAAAAGTCTATCTGACACTACACATAAATCAAGATAAAATATAAAAAATAAAGATAAAATACAAAAATGCCTTTGCAGTGGCTTGTAACCTAAGACACACTAGCCCAAACTGTGCTTTAAAATACAGCAGTTAAAGCTATCATTAATCATATCAGAAACAAAGTAGAAAATATATCTTCTGTCAACCCTGTCTTTCTATAAGAAGTAGAAGAAGAGAGACTTGACCTAGAATGGGCTTAAAACCATTGTAAAAAATTTCAAGTAATGGCTGTGAATGATATACAAATCAGTCCTCCCAGAAAAAAAATATTTTAAAAATATATGTATCACTCTCTCTATAACTGATTCATAAAAAAATAAATAAATAAACAAAATCAAAGTCAATGAACCATGTACCAGACCTTTGCCAATAACAAGAAGCTCCCTTGTATTGTACTGTCCACTGAAGAAGAACAAACAAAAAAAAGGAAAAACAAACCTTTGACTTGAGTTTCACATGCTGCCTAATGACCTCCACAATGGTTGTAGTTTTCCCTGTGCCAGGCGGACCATGGACCACTGCCAGATCACTCCTCTGAATGGCAAACTCAACTGCCTCCCGCTGTGAATTGTCCAGGTTTTCTGAGTAAAGATTTAGTGGGAAATAATGAATGGATGTGGACAGACTCAAAAGCAGTTGTGGCCTTTTCACTTCCCCTGTTTGGCAAGTTTTTCATTATACTGATGGTAAATATGTGTTCCTTTGGTCTGAAATATTATACTTCTTGTCATAAATAAGTATTATTATCAATAGTCCTATCATCTAGACTTATATCTTAAGCATTTTACTATCATAGAAAAGACATATCATTCAACTACTGTGAAATTCTTTAAAAGTTTGGACATTATATCTTTTTGTTAACGTGCATTGAAATACCCCAAAAATGCAACAAAGTGAAAATCATATATAATGACTAAATTCCAGCTTGGTAGATGGTACAATGCAACACTCACTGGCAGGCATATTTTTGACACTGAAATTCTACAAATCATGTTGTGCCTTACAAAAAAAAAACACTTTCTAGTAAATCATTTCTCTTAAACCTGCCTGTAAAATGGCATTGTAATATTATGTGACTTTCCCTCCCTTACACATAAAATATTACATAAAATGGCAAAGAGCACTTAAACAACAACTTACTGTTAAAAAGTTGTATCTTGCCATCAGCTCCAGTTAGTTGTGGTGGTAAGGAAGGAGCCGCAGACCTTGGAGGAGATTCACCAAATAACACTGAGACTGTGTGCGCAGCTGGGCCATTAATCAACTTATCAAGCTCAGTCAGTCCTGATTTTATCCTTCTGTAGGTAACCTAGACAGAGGAGGACCAGTTAATAGGGCTTATTTCTTAAACCATAACCTTGTAATAAGTAACTTATACATACTTTTCTATAAAGTAATAGAAATATTAAACTAACAAACAAATTAAAATTCACATAAAACTGAAAATTACGTATCACATGAACTACAGCATATCTCAAGCTTACGTCATTTGCTAGCTTGTTCAGTCGCAGTTGAGTATCATCGCTAAGGCTGTCCAACTCATCAGCGTCATCGTCGAGAACAATCTGTATATTTTTCTGTGAAACATACTTCACCACTCCTGTTGCACACTGCTGGCCTGATCCACTGTCACATACACCAACAATATCCCCTGTAATCATTAGTAACAAAGAATTCAAAAGATTAGTTTCTATTACTGATTTATAAATTAAAATTTCAGAGCTTACTATGAACCTTGGAAGCATTTTTGTACTGAACATTTATATCTAGAAATTTATTTCTCAATACAATCATTAACATTAGACATGCTATAATATTAATTTTCAACAATAATACTGATTATGCCACATAATCAAATAACTCCTTCTATGGTTTAATCCATTCTATAAAGATATATCTATAAAGAGATATAAAGATTCTATAAAGATACATTGGAATAAACATCAACCAATTACTGAAAACATCTATTATTGCATACCTGAAGAAAAATTATTCGCAGGTAAAACAGCATCTTTCCTTGCAGGGACAAATGTGATCATGGGTCGTCCATAGAGGCCAGTAGATCTCTCGCTGATAACTAAATGCCCTAGCACCACTCCTCTTGCCTCGAGGACCTTGAGGGATGCCCCTTCAACCTGGAGATTCAATAATGACTTATTTTGAATTACCCTTTAAACTAATTTAATAAAATCTTTCATGAAAATTATCATTCTATGTAGTATTAAAAAAAAAAAAAAAGCATCACTAATCTTACCCATGATAAAAAATAATTAATCTAAACTGTTTGACCAATTTAGTGACCATCATTATTCAATAAAGTCTCTCTTTAAAATTATTTACTAAACTTTTTAAACTTAATTTTTCATAAAATCATTCTATACTGTGATCATAGCATACTGTTATTGTAGTAATCCTTTTTTTTATTTATGAAACATGTACTTCCTTATACACAGATTTTTATAATTAAAGTAAAGAAAGCACTGTCTAGATATCAATAAAAAAGTATTTACACAAAAATATAACACAAACTTTAATCAACAAAGGAACAACAGAACTAGGAATCTCAAGACAAAGAACATAGGTACTAATACACCCAAGACCACACTATCAAAATGGGACCTAATCGAGCTGAAGGTGCTCTACTCACAGGTGTTCTACCTGTGACAGGATGCCTAGGCCTAAGAGTCTAACAAGAGAGTGGAATAATAGCGTTTATTGCTGCCTTGTAATTGGCACTCCAGCAAAGAACAAGAAAACTCCACCACATATAAACTATCAAAAGAGGCTTTAGACTAGTTTCTATGGAGGTCTACAACTGTTATCTTGCCGAAAGATGGTGGTTGAGGTCTGTTGGTCTTTGCCACAAAAGTTGCAGAGGCCAGTGCAGACCAGCACTTGATGCACCGGCATAATCTTCATATTAATTTATATCACTTCATTTTAATTTCTAACACATTATACTACATAACCCAACATGTATATATAATAAATATACATATAAAATATATACACAAGCCATACCTCTGATTGTGCAGCGCTGACCTCTGCCTTCCTCTCCTCTTCCAACAGCGAGCAATGGAGGGCAATCCAATCATTGCGCGACAGTTGAGCTTTCTCTTTCGTCATTGTCCTATAATTCTGCGCCTCTTAATGCAGTCTCTGTTCATGGCAAAGAAGAAAACGTATGATTATCATAACCTACAGATAGATTATACATATGAATCATACATTTTATGGTGTGTGGCTGAGAACCAGAAGGGCCAAGTCGCATCCAAGTCTAAATCCTGCTCAGGGGTAGAAGTTAGGAGGGACATCCACCCAGAGTAAGTATCCGCCTGTCCATTAAAAGCCTTTTGAACAAATCATCATCATCAGTGACTTTGAATTTTAATAATGAAGATGAAGATGAAGATGACAATGATAATGACAGCAACAATGACAACTATGACAATGATGATAAAGATGACAACAGTAATGATGAGTGTAATAATAATAATGATAAAGAAAATAAGTCATGAGAAGGAGGAACAGACAAAAAGGAGAAATGTCCTTGCCAGCACCTATTAAAAAACTGTTACATATATTTCATCAAATTACTCATGTAAAAAGGAAAAAAAATATATTTTATTTGAATGCGATCTCTTTTATTTCATCATTGCGGCAATATTGTGGCATTTAGGTATTCATTTTATTTGTCTTCTCTAATCCTGTTGTTATAAATAAAAAAATCTGAAACACTAAAAAAAAAAAAATAACAGAACCCTAGAAAGATTATTTCAACTGACACAGCCTACATATCTTCAGTGCTCCAGCAAAGACCAATACACCTCTGCCATACGCACTGGTAAAAGCACTCATATTTTTTTCCTTATCAACAATTATCGCCATGTGTCCGTAACTTTACATCCCAAACCCTGCACATGGTTGCATCATGATAAGTGCAAGCAATCTATACCACTGAATATCTTAATATCCAAATATTTAAAATTTATCCCAACCTGATAACAAATCATTAAGACTGAAAACAGGTCAGACCAGTGTATTATAACATTCATTCAAAAATAGAAAAACGAAATTCATAGGATATTTAAAGCAAAATACCCAACATCATGCTTTAAAAATATTACTTATTTATAAAGACTGTAACTTAATCACACACTTAGAACTTCTTCAGTGATTTCCTTACTCTTTTTCTGTATGACCAGTCTTCTCTGACCATTAAAAATACAACCACAAACTCTTGAAAAATACAATAATAGTAACTGCACAACTCACAATCGTCTTCAAAAATTTTCTTTACATTATAAACACACTCACTGCCTCAAGAAACATTCATTTCACGGCTTAAAATTGCTGAAACTGACCTCTTCACATCACATATCTTCAATGATAAAGAGCTTTTATCATTTTACTACTTATTATTGTTATTACTATTATCGTTATTCATTATTTTTGTAGTTTGTTATTGCTGTAGTCACGCCGTGTTCGTCTCGGTGTGTAAGCGACCTCGTCTGTGTTTTTTTTCTCTCTCTCTCTCTCTCGCCGCGAAAATTTTATTAATGATTTTATTTCTGGGATGGGCAATTTTAATGGTTTTATTTTTTCATATTTCTTCCTTTCTTTTTCACCTATATAGTCAAAAGAAAGCGATTGAAAAAAAAATATACTCTTTAGCGTGCACGTGCACACACACACACGTTTATATGTGTGTATATATGTATGTATATATATATATATATATATATATATATATATATATATATTATATATATATATATTATATATATATATATGTGTGTATGTATTATTATATATTATATATATATATATATATATATATATTATAATATATATTATATATATAATATATTATATTACATAAACATATATATATATTACATATATACATATATATATAAATATGTATAAACATATATATATATATATATATATATATATATACATACATATATATATATATTTATATATAACTAATTATAATAAGATATACACACACACACACACACACACACACACATAAACAACATATATATTAATATATATATAGTATAGATATATATATATATATAATAGTATATGTGTGTAGTGTGTGTGTGTGTGGTGTGTGTGTGTGTGTGTGTGTTGTGTGTGTGTGTGTATGTACATCTATCTACCTATCTATCGTATCTATCTATCTATCTATCTATCATATCTATCTATCTATCTATCTATATATATATACAATAGTATGTACATATATATACATACATTATATGTATATATATATATAATATATATATATATATGAATGTATATATACATATTTACATGCAACATTATATAGAATGACTCGCGCTATAGTCATTGTATAGAGCGCCGTCGTGAGTTTGGGCGTGGGCTGCTTGCAGCTACATCGACCTCCAAGAAGGCGTTCGATACGGTGCATCGGGAGTCACTTTGGGAGATCCTGAGGCTGAGAGGAATACCAACAAGGATTATTGGACTAATAGCAAGCCTGTATACTGGTACTGAAAGTGCTGTAAAGTGTGGTGGGGGCCTGTCGAGCTTCTTTCCTGTTAGTTCAGGGAGTGAGGCAAGGCTGTGTTCCTTGCACAACTCTTTTCAACACTTGCAGGACGGATACTAGCTATCAAATATGTGGGCAACGCTGGCCAATATTACAGACCTTGACTTTGCTGATGACGTTGCCATTCTATCTGAGTCTTTGAAACCCTAGTAGCGGCTCTCGATGCATTTAGCAATGAAGCGAAAGCCCTGGGTCTAGAGGTCTCCTGGACCAAGACCAAGTCCAGGAATTGTGGGGACTGTTAGGGAGAACCATGTTCAGTCGGTACGTGCTTGCGCGCGAGGACATTGAAGTCACAGAGAGCTTTACATACCTTGGTAGTGTAGTTCATAACTCTGGGCTGTCAGACCATGAAGTCAGCAGACGATTGGTGGCAGCAGCAGGGGGTCATGAACTCTCTCACAAGAGTATTCGGCGGTACCTGTGCAGAAGGACCAAGCTACGGGGTTTTCAAGCCCTTGATAAATGCCAGTTTATATAGATAGCGAAACCTGGACATTGTCCTGTGCCTTGAGGCTCATCTTGAAGCCTTTTGTAATAGGTCCTTGCGCCAGATCATGTTGCATGGGACATGTGTCCAACCAACGGGATTGCACCGTGAGACTGGCACAAGCCCTGTTATCTGCACAATCCGTGATCGGCCAACTCAGGCTATACGGCCACCTGGCTCGCTTTCCTCAGGATGATCCTGCCGTCTTGTCGTCTCTGTCGAGACAACCTGAGGAGGCCTGTGGACGACCGAGGAAGTCATGGCTTGGCAGATCGACCAAACCTGCCGTGAAGAAAGAGATGGGCGAGTTCCCTGGCTGGCGTCTAGCCATGAGGGATCCTCGTAGGTGGAAGCGAAGGGTGGATGCGGCTATGCGCCCCCGGCGTCAGCCCCATGATGATGATGATGATTTATGAATGTATATATACATATTTACATGCAACATTTATAGAATATATCTTCTCAGCTTTCTCCTATTTCTCTTCTGTGATTCCTTTCAATTGCAAGTCATCCCTTGCACAGTCTCGCCATCTCTTTCTTGTTCTCCCCCTTTCCTTCTACCCTGAACTTCCATCTCCATTGTGTTTCTTCCAACACGATCTTCGTCCTTTCTCAGCAGGTGTCCGTTCCACCTCAGTCTCCCTTCCCGCATTTTCTTTGATACTTCTACCACCTTTGTCGACTCTCTTGTGTACTCATTCCTAATCCTCTCCTCTCTTGTTCCCCCACACATCCACCTCAACATTCTCTTTTCTGCTACATCCATCCTTTTCTCCTCTGCCTTTTTCATATTTACTGTTTCTGTTCCATACAACATGGCTGGTCTAATAACTGTCCTGTGAAACTTTCCCTTCAGTCTCAGAGGAACTTTCTCGTCACAGAGGACCCCAGAGGCAGACCTTCAGTTGTTCCATCCTGCCTGTACTCGGTGCTTCACTTCTTCATCCATGTTCCCACCAGCATCCACTATGGACTTTCCAGTACTTGAACTTCTGTACTCTAGCTCTTCTCCATCCATCCTTATGCTTCCCCATCATTGTTGGTGCATATTCAGTTTTGGACCTGCTTATCCTCATTCCTCTTTCCTCCACTGCTGTTCTCCACTTTCCAACTTTATCTCTAGATCCTCCCTCCTCTCTGCACACAATACAATGTCATCAGCATACAATATGCTCCATGGCACTGTCTCTCTTACATTCCTGGTCATCACATCCATCGCGAAGTATTCGTGTGTGTGTGTGTGCATGGATTTGCATAGATAAACATAAAGAGGGAGAATAGATGAAGATGAAGGGATTTAAAAAAGAGAAGGGGAGGGAGAAGGAGAAATAAAGAAAAGAGGAACAAAAGAAAATAACAGAAAACAGAAGAGGGGGAGAGAGAGCAACTAGTCGAGACTCAAAATCTTCGACGTTGTCCGCGTCTGCAACAATGACATCGAACACCTGCTGACATTTGACCAACTGGAAAACAGCTGTCTGTTTGATGAAGAGGGTCTGATGGTTAAACCAAACAAACGTGATCTGTGTAAGTTGATGGGCCACGAAACCTGCAGGACGTTGGTAGTTCTTCGTCACTTTACTGGATGTTTCAACCAGCAGAATGTTCCCCCACCCCCAATTTTTATGCATCCGAGGGTGCTGACTTTTCAGACAAAAGACTGAATAGCTCCATCACTGCCGGGTTTCAGCACGTCCACCCTCGCCAAGAAGGGGTCCCAGGAGACCCCCTACAAAAACCGAGTGAGTGATTTAGGGGCCCTCTCGACCCCTGAAATACCCCTTGACCCCAGGACTCAAAGCACCTTGTCAACGTCCGGGTATTCCAGATTTCAAAGAACGAATTTCGCTTTCTTCCCTCGCCCTCGAATCCTGTGAAAGATGACTCCCTTGCAGATATTTAGGCCGAAAGGAATAGCTGCTATTACTCGGAGATCATGAACTTGCGTCAGAGTAAATAAACTCCTAATCTGGGAGTTATACTGCACAAGGAGGTTTCCAACTCGAAATTTTCGAAAATCAAAACAGCCGTCCACTTGACCATCAATGACCTTTTTGATGATAAGGGGGTTCACCTTCAAAAGCGATTGATTTTCATTCGCGCATTTAATACACACACACACACACACACACACACACACACACACACACACACACACACACACACACACACACACACACACATATATATATATATATATATATATATATATATATATATATATATATATATATATATATATATATATATATAAATACTGTATATATGCATATTCATATGATGTACGAATATGTATATCTACACAAAAAAGTATTCATATATACATGTATACACACAGACACACACAATTATTTAGATTGATCAAGATCAGTAGATAAATATAATGAACTTTCTTTAATTAAAAACTCGTGTAGTACTGCAATACCCTAGTAGCTCGGTCGGTTGGAGCTCCGTGCAAGTAACGCGGAGGTCGAGGGTTCGATTCCCTTACGAGCCAAAACGTAAGTTTTTTTTGTTTTTTTTACGTAATTTTTTCAGATTTTTCACCTGTTTCCCTCTCTTCCTAGTTTCCTACCATGATTATCATTATTATTATTACCATTATAATTGCCATCACTATTATTTTTTATATCATTATCATCATTCTCTATCTTATCATTATCATTATTGTTTTTATCATTCTTTATTTCTATTTGTATTAATGTTATCATTATTCCTATTTCCATTAGTATCATTATCATCACTTATATTCTTATAGCTTTTATTATCATTATTTTTTTAATCATTATTATTGGTATTTAGAGTAAAATAAATCAATTTTCTTTTCTCGTTTTTTTCATTATTATTAGAATCATCATTATTATTATCACTGCTATTTTATCAATTATTATTTAAATTGTTATCATTATCGACATCATTATTACTGCTGTTGTTTTTTTTATTGTTACTAGTGTTATCGATATAAACATTATTATTAATATTGTTGTTATGAATATTATCATTGCTATCATTATTGTTTTTCTTATTCTTGTTTTTATTATTAGTATGATTATTATCATTATCATCATTATCATTGTCTTTATCATTATCATTATTATCATTATCTATTTTTATTATTGGCATTATTTTCTTTTTATCATGTATACTATTATTATTATTCCGTTTCCCATTATTGTTATTGTCGTTGTTATTATCATTATTGTTATTATTATCCATTGTTATCATTATCACTGTTATTGTTATTTTCGATGTTATCATTATTATCATTATTATTATTGTTATTATCATTCTGATAATCAATATCATTACTATCACTGTTATTACTATAACTAATATCATTATTATTGATATTACTATAACTATTATTATTATCATTATCTCATTATTAGTAGTATCATTATTGTTATTATCATTATTATTTTTATTATTATTACTATTATTATTATTATTATTATCATTATCATCATTATCATTACTATTATTATAATCATTCATTTTTTATATATATGAACATTATTGATTTCTCTTATCATTATCATCACTTTTATTGTTGTTGCGGTTGTTTAATCTAATTTTCATTATCATTATCATTATTATTGTTGTTGTTACTGTTATCACTATCATTATTACTTTTATCTTTTTTGTTATCATTATTATCATCAATTTTATTATTATTACTATTGTCTTTTTATACTCATTATTTCTACCTTTACTGTTATATTTCTATTTTCATTATCATCAATATTGTTATTACTATCATCCTTTATTATCATCATCATTATTGTTACTTATTGGAGCCTTGTCTACATGTGAAGGAAAAAAAAAAAAAAATTCTTGAAGTCTATTCTCCGCCGGGAATCGAACCCGGGTCAACGATTCTGGAGACCGTCGCGCTAACCGTTGTGCTACGGGAATTAACAGGTTTGAATTCATCATTAATTTTAATCAATCACAAACACTGATGGACGAACCTGTTAAGGATGGTTCTCTGTTTCAAACGTTGTTGTAATGTTTTTTTTTTCTGTTGATTAGAGTGATATGAATTCTCTTTCCTTTCTCGTCTTTTTTGCATTATTCTTATTATCATTATTATCATTATTGTTGCTATTTCTATCAATATTATCATCTGTATTGTTGCTTTTATTATCATCTTTATTAATGAATTGTTTTTGTTACTATAATTATTATCATTACTACTGTTGTTGTTTTTATTATCATTATCATTATTATAATCATCGTCACCATTATTGTTTTTGCTATTATCATCATTATCATCATCATTATTATCATTATCATTACCGTTGTTGTTATTATTGTCATTATTGTGATTATAACTGTTATCATTATCAGTATTATCATGCTTATCATTATTACTATAATTTTTTATCATTAACATTATCATTTCTTTTTATTATTGCGAACATTATCATCATTCTTAACTTCATTTTATTATCATTATAACTGTTGTTATTATCATTCTTATTTTCTTATTAAAGAAAAAAGTATTTATATATACATATATACACACAGACACACACAATTATATAGATTGATCAAGATTAGTAGATAAATACACTGAATTTTCTTTAATTAAAAAATCGTTTATTACTGTAACCACCTATTAGCTCGGTCGGTTGGAGCTCCGTGCAAGTAACGCGGAGGTCGAGGGTTCGATTCCCTTACGGCCATGTCAATTTTTTTTTTTACGTTTTTTTTAGATTTTTCACCTGTTTCCTCTCTTCCTAGTTTCCTACCATGATTATCATTATTATTATTACCATTATAATTGCCATCACTATTATTTTTAATATCATTATCATCATTCTCTATCTTATCATTATCAATATTGTTTTTTATCATTCTTTATTTCTATTTGTATTAATGTTATCATTATTCCTATTTCCATTAGTATCATTATCATCACTTATATTCTTATAGCTTTTATTATCATCATTATTTTAATCATCATTATTGGTATTTAGAGTAAAATAAATCACTTTTCTTTTCTCATTTTTCATTATTATTAGAATCATCATTATTATTATCACTGCTATTTTATCATAATTATATTTAAATTGTTATCATTATTAACATCATTATTACTGCTGTTGTTTTTTTTATTGTTACTATTGTTATCGATATAAACATTATTATTAATATTGTTATGAATATTATCATTGCTTGTTTTTCTTATTCTTGTTTTATTATTAGTATGATTATTATATCATCATCATATCATTGTCTTTATCATTATCATTATTATCATTATTTATTTTTATTATTGGCATTATTTTCTTTTTATCATCATGTATACTATTATTATCATTCCGTTTCCCATTATTGTTATTGTCGTTGTTATTATCATTATTGTTATTATTATCCATTGTTATCATTATCATTATCATTATCAATTATCATCAGTATTGTACATCGTGTTGTTATTTTTCGATGTATTATTATTATCATTATTATCATGTATTATTTGTTGTTATTATCATTGCTGGATCAATCAAGATTATAAACTATCATTGTTATTACTATAACTAATATCATTATTATTGATATTACTATTACTATTATTATCATCATTAGTTTATCATTACTATTATTATTATTGTTATTATCATTATTGTTTTTATTATTATTACTATTATTATTATCATTATCATCACCATTACATTATATATATTATAATCATTCATTTTTATATATATGAAACATTATTGATTTCTTCTTATCATCATATGATGTGTTTAGTTTGTTGTTTGCGGGTNATTATCTTCTTATTTTTCTATTAACATTGCTAATCTATTATCTTTATCATATTACCATGTGTTGTTGTTGTTGATGTTGTTGTTTCTATCATAACCTATCATTAATTATCATCATTGTCGTTTTTAATATTTTATCATTATCGTTATTATGCATTATGGTATAGTATCATTTACATTTATTTATCATTACTCTTCTTATCATTCATTAATTAATTGGTTAATTTACTAATACTAAATTATTACGATTATGATTTATTTTTATCAGAATGAAAATTATAGTATCTTTTCTTATCGATATATGCATTATCATTACCATTGTTTGTTTTATTATCATTATTTACCATTACTTGTTTATCATCACTATTAATTTCTAATAATTAAGCATTATTACTCTATCATTATCATTACTGTTTTTTATTTTATTTCTATTTGTATTATTGTTTCATTATTCCTACTTTTCATTATTTTATTATCCTTGATTTGTTATACCTTTATTTATCTTCATTAGTATTTATTATTGTTCCTCGTATGTTGTTATTATAGTCATTTTCAGAATTATTATTACTGTTACTCATTAGGGCCTTTGTCTACCTGTAAAAAGGAAAGAAACACGGAAATAAAGAAAATTTTCTATGTTATTCTCCGCCGGAATCGAACCCGTCAACGATTTCAGAGATCGTCGTGCTAACCGTACACCACAGAGGATTTCTTAGTAAACATTTTATAAATTGTTTTAGATATTTTCAAACACTGATTAGCGGACATTTCGAAGATGCATATCTTGATTTATCAAATGTTGCTGTTAAGTATTTTCTTTTATGGATTAGAGTAATATGAATTATCTTTAATTCCCCGTTTTTCCATTATTATTATTATCAATATTGTCATTATAATTCCTATCATAATAAACATCATCTATATTGATGGTGTTATCATTTTCATCATCAATTGCTGTTGTTGATCTTGTTATTGTTGTTCATAATTTTCGTTATTATTATCATAATCTTTATCATTGTCATTATCATAATTATCATAAATTATCAATATTGTTAACTTTATTATCATTATACATTATTTCTTTCTCTTGCTATGGATATTATTACTATTATTATTATTATTATCATCATAATACTGGTATTTTCATTATCATTGATATTGTTATTATAATCATTTTCAGAATTATTATTATTGTTACTCATTGGGCCTTGTCTACCGTAAAGGAAAAAAACAAATAAAGAAAACATTACATAACTATTCTCCGCCGGGAATCGAACCCGGGTCAACGATTTCAGAGATCGTCGTGCTAACCGTTACACACCACAGAGGATATCTTGGAGAAGGATTTATTTTATTAGAAAACACTGATTAGCGGACATTTGAAGATGCATCTTGATTTATCAAATGTTGCTGTTAAGTATTTTTCTTGTTTTATGGATTAGAGTAATATGAATTATCTTTAATTCCCCCTTTTCCATTATTATCATCATCAGTATTGTCATTATAATTCCTATCATAATAAACATCATCATCTATATTGATGGTGTTATCATTTTCATCATCAATTGCTGTTGTTGATCTTGTTATTGTTGTTCATAATTTTTCATTATTATTATTATAATCTTTATCCTTGTCATTGTTATCATTATCATTATTATCATAATTATCAACATTGTTAACTTTATTATCATTATACTTTATCATCATCACATCATCATATTATTATCAACATCATTATTTCTATTGCTATGGATGTTATTACTATAATTATCATTATTATTATTATCATTGATACTGGTATTTTCATTATCATTATCATCATCTTCATATTCGTTATTATCATTATCATTATTGTGTTGATTTTTTATTTATCATTATCATCATTTTTATCTATTATCATTGTTACTAATTCTATTATTGCTATTATCCTTATCATTTCTTTTTATCATTTTCAAAACTATCTATTCGTATCATTATTATCATTATCATTGTTGCTGTTGTTAGCATTATCATTATTACTATTATTTTTATTATCGTAATTGTTATTGTCACTATCATCATTATTATCTTTATAATTACTATGATTGCTATCATCATTATTTATTATTGTTATTATTATTATTTATTATTATTATGATGATAACATTTGTTATTGTTATTATCATCATTATCATGTTATCATTATCATCGTCATCATTGTCATATTCATTATCATTGTTATTGTTATCATTAACGTTATTATTACTGTTATTAGCATTATCATCACTTTTTATTATTATCATTATCATTTCCTTTTCTTATTGTGAAAATTATAATCATTATCATTATCAATATGCCATCATTACCACCGTTGTCATTTTATATTTATTATCATTATTATCATTATCACTACTACTATCATTATCATTATCACTATTGTTGTTGCTATTTTTTGTCATTTCCATCAACAATCACTGTTATCATCATCATCATTCTTGTTAAAATCATTATGATACATGGCACCATTTTTTATCATTATTACCATTGTTATCCTTATCACCATCGTTATTGAACCCTTGTTTACGATTCCAAAGACCGTCCCGTTGACCGTTATATCAGAGAGGCTTTCTTAATCAACCAACAATTATTGATTGAACTTCTCACAGACACTGATGCAAGGAAAGCTAAGCGGCATCTCTTGATGTTAATTATTATTGTTACTAATTATAGTATTGTTATTATCCTTATGCTGTTGTTTTTTTAATATTCTATGGTTTAGAGGAATGTGAATTATCTCTTTCTCTATTACTATTGTCATTATTATTATCATTATGATTATCATTTTCATTATCATTGTTATTGTTATTATCATTATCATTATCATTATCATTATCATTATCATTATCATCATCCTCATCATCATCATTGTTATTATCAATTGTCATTATTACCATTATCATTACTATTACGCTATTCTTATCATTATTATCATTATTATTATTACTATTATTATTATTGTTGTTGTTATTATCATCATTCTTATTGTCATTATTACTTTATTACCATTATGTTATTGTTAACATCATTATTCTTTTTGTTATTATCATTATTGTTATTGTTATCATCATTTTTTTTTATTATCATTATTGTTATTAATATTGTTAT